GGCTTTGACAAGCACTGTGGCAATTGGACAATTAAAACAGACATTCGGATGGCGGGGGAAGAAGAACAAACTGGGGAAGAGGGTAGAGAGAATGGTACAGCAATGAAGGAATGAAAACCCAAAATCCCTGTAAATGTTCATTAATACTAATAAAATTTAATAATTTAAAAAAAAGGATAACAGAAAGAAAAAATGAATAGCAAGCCAACTATTACTGACCTTGACATAGGGCGGAGCTAAAGAGGACAGGTGCCATTTAACATCTGTGTTACCATGATTGTCAAGCTCCAGATAATTTTCTAAAAGGAACACATGGATAAGAATGCAAACAAGTCTTGGAAAGGTACGTAAATAAGTAATTAATGTTATATGTTTTATATCATCATGTGGGGGAATATAATTAGTCGTGGGTTTTTTCCCCATAGTAAGACTTCTTTTATATATGAAGTGGTTCACTAATATACATTCTGATGCAATCTTCTCTTACGACTGAATAGCACTCTAAGTATCCTCCTCTGGTTAAAGTAAACTAATTTTGTAGAATCAATGGATTTGCTTTCTTCTCTTCTTTAGGTATCAACTTACAGTGATTCTAAGAAAATCTAAAGAAGTTCAATAGAAACTATAGCATTTTCTACAAAATGGAATTTAACAGATAATCTCTTTTGGAGAGATCTATTATGAAGATAAGATACAAAGGACGTGCTGATGGACTGGAGCAGGTTGGGAAGAGAGATGGAAGAAATCACAATTAAATTCCACACATTAGCACAATTAAATCAACAGATAGTAGTATCATTCATTCAGATCTTTAAGACTGGGAGAGAAGCAGATTTCTGTTTCTATAAAACTATCTGTTTTGGATACTCCCAAAGGCTTGAACTATCAAAGTGGAAGTTATGTAAGAACCTGGAGAGAGAGATCCATCAGGATATATATCTGTATATCTCTGGATGTTGGAAAGAAGAAGAGTGAGAAAATGAGCATGAAAAGGAGCTAGGAATTAGGAAAAACAAGAGTCAGTGCCACATGTGCTAAAGAGACAGACATGATCTTTAACCTCTGCAGCATCTCAAACTCAAACCAGCTGGACTTAACTTGCTTTCTTTTTCTTTTTAGCTACCAATTTGTTAGCAATTCTAGTGAGTTGTTGTTGTTGTTATGTGCTGTCGAGTCGCTTACCAATCACAGCTACCCTAAACTCTGCAACATTCCTAAACTCTGCTCTGTTCTATGCCAATCGCACCTTCTCCAATACACCCATCCCCATTACCCCTGTCACAGAATCAATCTATCTCATAAAGGGCCTTCCCCTCCTGCGCTGTCCCTCTACCCTACCAGGCATGATGTCCCTCTCTAAGGACCAGTCCCTCCTTACAACATGTCCAAAGTATGTTAGACGGAGCCTCAGAATTCTTGCCTCCAAGGAGCTGCCCGGTTTAACCTTTTCCTGGATGAATCTGTTTGTTTTCCTAGCAGTCCCTGGTATTCTCAATACTCTTCTCCAGCACCACAGTTCAAAGGCATCAATTCTCCTTCTATCCTCCTTAGTCATTGTCCAACTGCCTGATGCATAACAAGTGATAGCAAATACCATGGCCTGTATCAGATGCACCTTAGTCTCCAGAGAGACACCACTGCTCTTCAATACTTTGGAGAGGTCCCTAACAGCACTTTCCCATGGCAATACATCTTTTAATTTCCTGGCTACTGGTGCCAAAAGTGTTGACTGTGGAGCCAGGCCGACTGTGGAGTAGGTTGGAACTGGACCAAGAGGCAGTAGTCAGAACAGAGCAGGGTAACACTGCATGGTTCAAAATTGGGAAGGGTGTACACCAGGGATGTATCCTGTCTCCATACCTTTTCAACATGTATGCAGAGCAGATTATCCAAGAGGCTGGGCTCTGTCAGGAGAATTGTGGCATCAGGATTGGTGGAGGATCTATTAACAATCTGCATTATGCAGATGACACAACCCTGCTTGCTTAAACTGAGGAGGACCTCATGTACTTGCTGCGAAGGGTCAAGGACTGCAGCCTTCAATATGTACTGAGGCTCAATGTTAAGAAGACAAAGATTCTCACCACTGGACCAACTGGCAGCGTCAGGATGGATGGCGAAGAGATTGAGATTGTTCACAGCTTCAGTTTGCTCGGCTCCACAGTCAACACTCTTGGCACCAGCAGTCAGGAAATCAAAAAGTGTATCGCAATGGGAAAGTCTGCTGTTAGGGACCTCTCTAAAGTACTCAGGAGCAATGGTGTCTCTCTGGAGACTAAGGTGCACCTGATACAGGCCATGGTCTTTGCAATCGCTTGTTATGCATCAGAGAGTTAGACAATGACTAGGGAGGACAGAAGGATAGTTGATGCTTTTGAGCTGTGGTGCTGGAGAAGAGTACTGAATGTACCATGGACTGCCAGGAAAACAAACAGATTCATCTTGGAGAGGATTAAACCAAGCTACTCCTTGTAGGCAAGGATTCTGGGGCTTCGTCTGACATACTTTGGACATGTTGCCAGGAGGGACGGGTCCTTGGAGAGGGACATCATGCTTGGGAGGGTGGAGGGATGGCGCAGGAGGGGAAGACCCTCTATGAGATGGATTGATTCGGTGACTGGGGTAATTCAGATGGGTGTGTCAGAGGCAGTGCGGTGGGCGCAGGATAGAGCAGGATTTAGGGCTGTTGTGCATAGGGTCGCTATGACTCACAAACGGCACATAACAACAACAACAACAACAACAAGAAAATCTAAGATTTTCCTGCTATCAAGTCAGAACTGACTCACAGCTGACCCTCCACCAAGTTCTCAGGGTTGTAAATCACACAGGTGGACACTGTCCACTCATCTCTTTCCCTTAGAGCAGCTGGAGGACTTGAACCACTTGTCTTTGGGTTAGCAGAACTCCTTATCTACTACACCACCAGAGGTACTAAATGCACAAATTTAACATTTTAAGATTTTCAAATCAAGCTATCATAAACATTAAGGCTAAAGGCCACCTGGTCTTCCTGAAACAGGGGAAATTTGTTCCATGTGCTTATTTAAGACAAAGAAACTCAGTTTGCCAGTTGTCAGGTCCCATCAGGCCAGTTTTTATTTATATAGACTCCGTGTATCAAGAGTGTTTAAGGCTATGACCTTTCTAGGAGTAGATCACTAGATCTTTTCCTACAGAATCACTGGGTGGTACTGAATTGAAGCTGAGCACTTCACTGTTGAGTTTTAAATGGCTTCTTAATTTTATTAGCAGACATTTAAATTAAGATAATTTTGTAATAAAATACCTGAAGTTGCACCCAGTTCTGTTGTATGAAAAGTGACAAGTTTATTTCTTATTTCCACTTTTGTGGAAGGTGGCTGCTTCGCTGGTATCACCACATGACCAACAGAAGGTGCAGAGGGAAGGATTCCAAATGGGCTTGAGCTCCAACACTCAAAAGGATGTTCTTCTTGGGTCAGGTCATTTTTAATTTGAACTTTTACAATTTTCTGAGATAAGCCAAATAAAGAAGGGAGACATAAAAGCAACCATTTTAAAATAAAAATTATATTATATCACAGTGAAGTAATTTAGAGCAAATGAAACACTGATGATTTTAGAAATTAAAACTTATTCATACTTAAACAAATACTTCTTTGTCTGCTTTCTCTGATACTTACTTCCCCTTCTTTCTGCTCTAGCCAAGCAAATCATTGTAATTACAAAAGGAAGAACTCTGTACCAAGTGTTAAATTTAAATAAATCTAGTGAGGTTTAAAATAACCCAGATATACCATATCTTCACCTGTTTTTTAAAAGTACTAATAAGAATGAAAATATCCAAAGCTGCAAAATATAAACAAAGTTGCTCAAAAGTTGTTTGCTTGATTAAGTACCTTCTGTCCATTGTCACAATGTATATAGATCAACCCACTCCACGGTAACAGTGAATGATTTGTGGATAAGGAGGAACTGGGACTCACAAGAATTTGTAGTTTACTCCTTAAAAAAATAAAAGAAAGAAAACAACAAACATCTTACACTGTAATGCAGTAACCAAAACAGTTAAAAATATGTACCGACAATGACCATTTCATCACTGGGAAAGACCAATGCCAGGGTGTGGAGTCTTTTACCTCCAGCAGCCTCCTTACACCTTCTCCCTGCACTTCTGGTCTTATCTCAATGTCCATAAAAGGCAAATCTAAGGCCAAAACATGTGAAAACAAACCACGCCACAGAAATCCTATTTACCATCTCTAACAGGAATTGCTAAAAATAAAAAAAATATTTTTACTGGGGTGAGATGATATGTTTTGATTTGCATCTCTCTTTGAGCTAAGGATTTTGAACATTTCTTCATGTATTTGTTGGCCATTTGAATGTCTTCTTTGTTGAAGTGTTTTGTTCATATCCTGTGCCCATTTTTCAATTAGGTTATTTACCTTTATCTTGTTGTGGAGTATTTTATAAATTCTAGATATAAGCCCCTTATCTGACATGTCATTACCAAATATTTTTTCCCAATCTGTGGCTTCCATTTTCACTCTGTTGGAGAAGTTTTTTGACTTGCATAGGGATTTGATTCTTAGAAGGTCCCATTCATCTTTTTATCCTCTCCTAGTTGTAGATTTTTAAGGATGCTTGGAAGACTGAACAGCAAACAACAAATGCTGCCGAGGTTGTGGAGAAACTGGAACCCTTATTCACTGTTGGTGGGAGTGTAAAATGGTGCAACCACTATGGAAGGCTGTATGGTGCTCTCTCAAAAAGTTGCAACTAGAAATATCATTTGACCCAACAATTCCATTACTGGGAATATACCCTAAGGAAACCATAACTGCCACACAGACAGATATACATTCAGGTTTATTGCAGCTTTGTTCACAATACCAAAGAGTTGGAAACAACCTAAGTGCCCATCAACAAACTAATGGATAGAGAAGCGATGGCATATTCACACAATGGAATACTACACTGCATTGAAAAACAAGGAACTCATGTAATATTATTCAAAATGTGTGACTTTGGAGGACATTATGCTGAGTGAAATATCTGTCACAAAAGGATAGGCGCTGCATGGTGCCACTACTGTAGAACAGGACTGATGGACTGGGGTGAGACTGAGACAAATCGGATAAATTATGTATACTGTATTGAAACAGAGGAGGGAGAGAACTGTTTGAAAGCAATATATGATAGGGTATTATGGTTATGACAAAAGCCCAGAATGAAGGTTGCATAGTGGAGAATATTCGGGGCAGGGGATTCTATACCAATGAAATAATTTTTCTTTTACTTTCCAAAGAAATGTGCAAACTTCGAGGAGGGGTGGACAGGGAGAAAAAGGCAACAATGAATGTATGGGGGGAAAAAGTTGCATTAAGGGGGGAAAAATCTGTAGAAGACAAATACCACAAAGGTACAGTCTTGACAGAAAAAAGGAAAAGAATGAAGAAAAATAACCAATTTAATGATGAAAATAGTAACAAAAACAAACCAGTTGTAGTTGAATTGGTACCAAAGCATGGCAATCCTACCTGGACCATAATGTCAGTATGCTCACTCATTCCCAGTGGCTCCTTCTTAAGAAGTACATTGTGAAATGCCTCTGGGGCTCCAATCACTAACCTTTGGTTAGTAGTTGAAGGACTAATGATTAGTACCAACCAAGAACTTAAGTAGTATTTTTAATGCTTAGTATTCTTTCTTCAAGTGCCACAGAACATCAAAGGTGAGTTAAAAATGGGTGAAATTAGATTTGTGATTTAAAATTACCAGCTACAAAAAATATTTTAGAAGTACACGTTTAAAGAAAAAAAAAATATAAAGGGGGCATAGAATTTGTTTTCCAGAATGCAGGTAAGATTACTCTTAATAACCAGAGGTGAAAAGCAAGCCAAGTGTCCAGCAACATATGAATGATAAAGAAGTCAAGTTTGAATACATGCCACAATATAGATAAACATAGAATACATGATATAGAATACAGTAAGTCAGAAACAAAAGGATATGTTGTATGTGTGATTCCCCTCTACATAAATTATCTAAAACAGACAATTATATAGCGGCAAAGTATAGGCATGGTTACTAAAGAATGCAGAGAGAAGGAAAGGGGAGGTATTGCTGAAAAAGAACTAAGTTTCTGTTTTGGTTGATATAATAAAGTTTTTGGAAATGGATAATGGTTATAGTGAACATAATTAATGTCCTTTAACTGTACACTTCAAATGCATGTAAAATGTTTCTGTATGTATGTATGAATGAATGAAACAATGTACATATAAATGTATTAATTTATTTTTTGTATGTATTTATTTTGAAAGCACAAGATGATTTTTCCATTGCTAACAACTAAATATTAGAGAACATAAAGTTACTTATGGATATTGTGGTTTGTCATCTCCCTGTCTTTTCAATCATTTATTGAAAATGGTATGCTGAACATAATAAATACTTCACAGTTGCTTCCCCAGCATACATCACCTATGTTAGGCAAGTTAACTCTCCTCACCGTCATTACTTTTTCTCAAAAGTAAATAAACTTCTGTTTATGAAATATGGAATGAAAATGCAACATGGTTTATGAAATTTCACTTAAAAAAAATCAAACAAATGATACAAGTGAAAATAAATAAACTTCATGTTGTTCTGCAAGGTTGCAAATCCAAATCACATGCCAATATTCTGTGCTGTCCAGACAAAAAACCTGAAAAGACTGATTTCTAGCTTCACTTCACATCACCATTTAAACTGTAATCAGAGAGCTGATGCTTACAAACATATCACCTAAAGAAATCTTCCTTCTATCTTTGTGATCTATGTAGAAAATGGTAAATTGGGTATTTGTCAGGAACTGTCTGGATATGTCCTTTAGACAAACAGCAGAACAAGAAATTCAACAGAAAAAAGGTATACAAAGTATAGCCACCTGGGCTTCTGGACACCACCTGTTAGATTATTACATGCCCTGATTTTAATCTTTGCTTTATTACAGCTAGAGAGACATTTCAGAAAAAACTGTGATTCTTCCATTCCAGATCATCTCCAATCGGAAGATGTCCTCAACACTTGAGGGCAAAAGCATTCTCCACCACTGCACGCTGGACCTAAGCTGGCATGCACAGGCTCTCTGCTATCACACAACATACACAGTGAACTAACTGCTGTTTCCCAGACACAAGCACAACACTTTGGAGTGGGTCAGACAGTGTCAATTAACTCTGAATAAAGTTAAATGCCCTATCGTTTGATACCTTAAAAGGTCAGCACAACAGCATCTGAATGACACAGAGAAGGAAACAAGAAATTCATACTTACTCTGGTTCAATAATTCCATGTTGAGGTGTTACTGTCAGACAATGTGCTGGCCAACAGAGTTCAAATTTCAGTAATGTAACAGAACTATTTAAAATAAGGAAACGTCTAGTTTTCCCCATGTCACCTAAAGCAGATAAATAAAATATGTATATTTAGTCTTAGTGAGAAAAACAAAGGCTAACAAATAATAAAACTAAATCCTAAATAAATACTCTAGTGCACTAATTCTTTCACAGTAGTTCAATTACAGTAAATTCTTGGTATGATAACTCCCTTGGAAACGAAACAGATACCAGCAATACTGAACAACGTTGGAAAAAATGAAGAAATCTGAACACTGTCATCATAATTTTGGTATATGTACACATTTAGACTGAAGGGACTACATTAACAGTAAGTGCCAAATGAATTCTTTAGGGAAATGGTAGAGAGAAAAGGGTTATTTGTGTGGGTTCTATCATGATAAAGATGTGGGGAGCTTAAATTGAAGACTATGACCTCAAATTAAGGGAAATAATATAGTCAGACCTGAGTTTGGACTTCGTACGTGGCAAGAGGATATGCACAAAGCAAAACCACAAGTTGAGTCTGTTTAAGATCTGCAGTATATCCGACATGTGCCAACAGTACACAACATATAAACCTGGAATCTAGAATGAATTAATTATATGTTATTATTTGATATACTCACATGGAGAAGGAGCTATCAAAGTCAAGTGTTCAGGGTGGACAGACCATATTTCTTCAGAAGCTAATTTATCTTGAGATGTAAAAACAGCTTGTGAAAGACATGGACAATCTTGAGGACCCTTAACTGGTAATACATCCAAAGAAATATTGCCACCGTGTCTTCCAGAACCTTCTGATCCCCTAAAAAATTATTCAATAATTAAAATTAAAAAAGAAAAAGACAAAAACCAAAACTGTTTCCATTTTCTATTAATTCTTTATGAATATAAAAATAGAGCAAAGCTCTACATATACATATACATATTTTCCAATGAATAAGAACAATCCATATTGCATGTAATTTAAAGTATGTTTAAAATATGTAAAAAACTCAAAATATGCGACCTGTTAAGTAAGAATAGGGAAGAGTTCAATTTTGCAATGAACTGGATGTTGGCATGCCACCAAAAATTCCTTTCACTAAAAGATCTGCTGCTGTTGTTAGATGCCGAAAAGTCAAGAATAACTCATAGTTACCCAACAAACACCATCTATTACTGCAGTCACTGTGTGAATCCATCTCATTGGAGGTCTTCCTTTCTTTCAATGAAATTTTTCAAGTATGATGTCCATTTTCAAGGAATAGCCTTTCCTAGAAACATGCCCAAAGTATATGAGACGAAGTTTCACAATCCTTGTCTCCAAGAAACATTCTGTCTGAACTTATTCCAAGGCATAAATGTTTGTTCTCTTAGTTGTCCATGGCACATTCAATGCTCTTCTCCAACACAACTCAGACACATCAATTCTTCTCTGTCATCCTCAGTAACTGTCCAGCCCTCAGACACACAGCAAGTCACTGAAAAGACCACGGCCTGAATTAGTCAGTCGTCAAACTAACATCACGGCTACTCAGTAATTTGAAGAGATCCCTGATAACAGACATCCTCAATGTGACTCATCTTTTGATTTCTGTACTGCTAGTACCAAGAGCATCCACTTCCTAAACAACATGCCCCTGGAAACTCTATGAAGTTTGAGAAATGACGATAGTTATAGAAAGACTTAAGGTCTTTTGTTCACAGGGTCACTATGAATCATGCTCACCTTGACGGCAATCAACAATAACTACAACAACAAGAAGTACCAAGGGTATTGTTTGTTGATCCAAGTAAGATGAAATTATTGACATTTTCAATCCTTTCTCCATCTATCATGATATGGTGAGGATTTCTGTTGTTATATGCATTTCAGTCATAATCGACTCATAGCTGATTCTCTAGTGGGTTTTCAGAGACAGAAAATCAAACAGCAGGAGACTTCTCACCTTTCTCCTACAGAGCAGGTGGTGGATTCAAACTGTGAATCTTTGGGTTGGCAGTGCAGATCCTTACCATTAGGATACCAGAGCTCACACTTGTGAGGATTTCTGTCTTCCTGAGGTTGAGATGTAATCTATACTGAAGACTATAGTCCTCCTCACTTTCAGCAAGTAAGGTGGTGCCATCTGCATAACCCAGGTTGTTGATGCATCTTTCTCCAATCCTGATGCCACATTCTTTTTCTTTCAGCCCAGATTCCTGAAGAATTTTTCTGTGTATAGACTGAATAGGTATGGAGAAAGTGGATAATCCTGATGCACACTTTGCCTGATTTTAAAGCAGGCAGTATCCCATTGCTTTGTTCAAACAACAGCTTCTTCATCTAGGTATGGATTTTGCATGAACATAATTAAGCATTCCTATTCTTCTCCTCAATGTTAGCTACAATTCGTGATAACCTTCAGTGTCAATAAAACACAAGTAGACATTCTTCTGGTATTTTCTGCTTTCAGCCAGGATGCCTTGGACATCAACAATTATATTTATGGTGTCACAGCCTCTTCTAAACCCAGCTTGAACTTCTGGTAGTTCTGTGTCCATCTACTGTTCTTGGATGATCTCCCAAGAACAGTGTTTTGCTTACATGTGTGATAATATTAATTGATAATTTCAACACTGTATTGGAAATAGACCTTTTTTTTGAATGAGAACAAAAATGGGTCTCTTACAATTAGTCAGCCAGGCAGCAGTCCTTCAAATTTCCTGACATTTTTAAGAACTTTTAGTCCTATCCGATATCCATAACTGCACAGAGGTAACTGGCTTCATAATGTTTACATAAGATTTAAAAAACTAGATGTGTCTTTTAGTCAAAATGCTAAGGTGGAGGATACTGATTCCATGTAGAAAGATGTTTATCCCCCCCCCAACCAAATTGTGCAGCTCTGCAACTGCATCCCTGCCCATCTTCACCTTTCTGGCCCCAACCCTCACCTCCTTGTACCCCCATTATGTTTTCCCCAATAAAATAAAATAAGAAAGATGTTTATTAAGAGCTGATACAAAGTATTTTCTAATTTAATCTATAATCAGCAAAGTTAATACCTTAACTGAAGCTTAATTGTGCAATGTCTAAGCTCTCCTACCACACAGGACTTCATTTTTAAACTCTCTCATGAACAGAGAAAGGTATACCTGTGATTATCCTTTACTGATGGTCTTCTTTTTGAAATCACATTGCCAAGAATAGATCCAACACCCTAAACACAGTAACTTTTTTTCTTTTTAAAGCTAATTCTTGATCTTTTTTAACTTAAGTAAATCCTCAACACGTGAAGTTATTTTTAAGGTAACTGTTAGTATATATAATTACTCTGAACTAAAATTCAAAGACTATAGCCTTCAATATGGACTGTATCTTTTTTTTTTAAATATGGACTGTATCATAAAGACAACAAAAATATTCACAACTAAACCATTAAGTAACATTATGATCAAGACTGAAGTTGTCAAACATTTACTGCTTTCTTGGCTCCACAATCAACAATCAGAGAAATTGTGTGAGGTGCCTGTCAGTATGACCCTTAGCAACTCTAAAGTCAACAGAGCTGAACCTTGCCCTAGCTCACATCATCCTGATGGTATCTGATATGCTCAAGCCCATTGTTACAGCCACTGGGGCAATCCATCTTACTGGGGGACTTCCTCTCTTTCTCTGACTCTCCACCTTTCCCAGAACTATGTTTTTCCCAAGGACTAGCCTGTCCTAATTACTGTTGTTATTTGCTGTTGAGTTGGAATGGATGCAACTGCACAGGAGATTACCCATATAAAAGCCAAAGAATCAAAAGACAAACCCCATCGATTTTGCAGTCAAGTACCTCCTTAACGTGCTAAAGATCAAGGATGTCAGTTTAAAGACTAAGATGCACCTGATACAAGTCACATTATTTTTAATTGCTTCATATGCTTGTGAAAGTTAGACAATGCATAAGGAAGACTGAAAAATAACTGATGCTTTTGAATTGTGGTGTTGACAAAGTTTTACTATGGAATATACAGTAAGGACATTATGGTTTGCCAAAAGAACAAACAAATCTATCTTGGAGGAAGTACAGCCAGAATATTCCTTAGATGGAAAAATGCTGAGACTTCTCACATACTCCACGTATGTTATCATGAGGGAACACTCCCCTGAAAAGTCTGGAAAAGCAGAGGGTCAGTAATGGAGAGGAAGCCTATTAAGAGATAGATTACTTAAAACAACTATGAGATACCATCTCACCCAAGTAAGAAAAGCAAAATTTAGCAGAAAAGCACACATCAAATGCTGGCAAGGTTGTGGAGAAACTGGAACCCTTATTCATTGCTGGTTTGAGTGTAAAATCAGGCAACCACTATGGAATGGTGCTTTCTCAAAAAGTTGCAAATAGAAATACCATTTGACCCAGCAATTCTACTACTGGGAATTTACCCTATTGAAACCATAACTGCCACCCAAGAAGATATATGCACCCATATTTACTGCAGCTCTGTTTGCAATAAAAAAAGAGTTGGAAAAAACCCAAGTGCCCATCAACAAATGAATGGATAGAGAAGCTCTGGTATATTCACACAATGGAATACTATGCAGCATTGAAAAACAAGGAAGTCATGAAATATTATGCAAAATGGATGACCCTGGAGGACATTATGTTGAGTGAAAGATCTGTCACAAAAGGACAAATATTGCACAGGGCCACTGTTGTAAAACAGGACTGACACGACATCAGAGTTGAGGGAAGACAGAAAAGGAGGGGAGGAACGATGTATATTGCATTGAAACAGATGAGGGAGAAAACTGTTTAAAAGGGATATATGAATGGGTATTCCTGTCATTACAGAACTCCAGAGTGAAGGCTGCATAGTGGAGTGGACTGGGGTGGGGCGGGGTGAGGGGGTGTGGAGAAAGGATTGTATACCAATGAAAGAGTTTGTCTTTCTTTTCAAGGAGAAGAGTGAATGGGGGAAGGGGGTGGGTAGGCAGAAAAGGCAAACAGTGAATGACTGGAAACACTAAGTCTCTGTAAACTTTCATTAAAATTAATTTTTTTTTAAAAAAAAGATGGATTAACACAACTGCCACAATGGCTTTAAGCGTGGTAGAGGGCCTGTGAAGGGGACAGGATCAGGCAGGGTTTTGTTCTGTTGTGTCCAGGGCAGCTGAGTTAGCACTGACTTGACAGCATTTAACACCAACATCTCTTCATTCTGTGTGTGACTGCAATTGACCAACACTAAAACTAGAGGGGAGAAGAAGCAGACTGAAGCCATGGTGGCAGGTGCATGGACAGGTGTGAGACAACAGTGAGAGATTAGCTGAAGGAAGAACAATGTTTAGTTAGCACTTATCAATGGTCCCAGAGACAATCTAGGTTTCAGAAACATGGACTACATATAAAAGCACTGAGTAAAGTCTAAAAAAATCCAAAAAAGGGGGGAGATGGGGAGGAAAATGTGCAACAATGAATGAATGGATGGAAATCCAACTTTTCTGTAAACTTTCATTAAAATGTCAATTAAAAAAAAGAACCAAAAAGGATAAACTAATTCGAGCAAAGGATTAAGCTGTCAACTATATTAGTGAATTCATTAGTTCAGATTAAGCAAATAGGAGGAGAAAGTAAATCTCTTCTCCATAGTGGAAAGCAAACTAATAAATGTAGAAAGATAAAATTAGAAAATCACAATTTATACTAACCATGATAGTAACAAATGACTCAAGTAAGAACAATAGCACTCTTCTCAGTGCTACAATAGGAATTAGCAGGGACCTCTGGTGGCTTCAAACTTCACCTGCGTCTGTTATTGGTCATAGTATCAGATGCCATCAAGTTGTCCAATTCACAGCTATCAAAACCTTGAAGATCCCGTGCCTCCTCGGTGTTTCTGACATATTTATACTCCCTATTCCACTTACTAATATGTCAGTGTACCTCACTGTCTTCTGCTGCTTCCTTGACTTTTTCAAGTTGAGCTCTTTTTCCAGATGAGACAATATGAGAACATGTCCAGAGGATATAAAAACCAAGTGTAATTATCTTCAGTTTTAGGGAACATGAGGCTACATTTCTTCCAGGGCACGCTTGTTGGCTCTTTCTGACAGTCCATTGTATATCTGATACTTTTCCACATCACCATAATTCAATGGTATCAAATCTTCTTAGATCTTCTTTATTCATTGTTCAATTTTCACATGCATATGAAGCAACTTAAAATACCATGGCATGGTATACTATAGTCTTCAAACTGGCACACGTGCTTTTTAGTACTTTAAAGAAGTTGCTAGCAGCTTTGTCCAATGCAATGATGTAATTTAATTTCTTGACCATAGTTTCTTTCCATAGGTGTTGACTGAGGTTCAACATTAAAATTAAACTGAGAACTTCAGTCTCTGTTTATCCTTCTGTTATTGATGGGTCCAGATGTACTTCTGTTCTCTTTACGTTGAGGTACAATCAATACTGACTGTAACAGTCTTTAATCTTCTTTAAGTTCTCTTCATTTTCTATAAGCAAGGTTCTCCATTTGCATAACACAAATTGGTGATAATTTCTTTTCCAATCCTGATTCCACATTCATCTTCATACAGTCCACCTTTTGAAATGATTTGTTCATCACACATATTAAATAGAAATGGAGTAAGATGACAAACCTGAAATACAATTTACTGATGAAGTGTATTCTTGTTCTGCTCAAATAACTGCTTCTTTTCCTATGTTCAATTTTCACATGAACCTGACTAAGTGTTCTGCGATTCCCATTTTTCTCAATGTTATCCACTGATAACATAATCTGCACAGCTGAGTAACTTTATAGGGTCACTAAAAAACAAATTGACCTACAAACAGGAGAATATAAAATAGATGAATGGGATCTACTAAGAATAAAATCCTTATGCACATCCAAAAACTTCTCCAACAGGGTAAAAAGGGAAGCCACAGACTGGGAAAAAGTATTCGGTAATGACATATCAGATAATGGACTTATATCCAGAATTTATAAAATACTTGAGCACCACAACAAGATAAAGGTAAATAATCCAATAGAAAAATGGGTACAGGATATGAACAGACACTTCAC